AACTGACTTTAGAAAACAAAAAAGGGCTTGTTTACACACCACAGCGTGCGTGTTACTGTGAACCTAATTAAAGTGTGTTGCTGTTTGTTGCAACGTACAATGTTCTGCAATGTGTTCATATGCATTGCAGCGCTTTCTTTTTTTTCCTTTTTCCTCCAATTTATTAATCTTATGCACTATAGCACGTTGTGATATGTTCAGGCTCATTAACACGAGCTCAGAGGCCCATACAGCATGCAGAATGCGATTGTTTATGCACCAAGCTGTCACATGTGTTCCTAGCAGCCGGTGAAAAATTGGACACACAACGGCTGTATGGATCTTCCTGCTCACCTTAGCATGCATACAGGGTTGCAGGGGTCTTCACGCAGTCCATCTGTGAATTATGTCCTTATAGTGCATCAGAATGTGCCATGCACTACAAAATTGCAACACGTCCTATTTGTTTCAGCACACACCAACACAGTGCACTGGGAACTAAAGCCATAAGACACGAGGCAAACTGCTTTTGTTCTTGCATTGGGTAACATAGCCCAACAAATACAGGTGAAACTCGAATAATTTCACTAATGCAACTTAAGAGGTGAAATATACGAGATAGACTCATTACATGCAAAGCAAGATAATTCAAGCCGTGATTTGTCATAATTGTGATGATTATGGCTTACAGCTCATGAAAACCCAAAGAACCCCAAATCCCCAACCTCAAAAAAGTAGATTATTACATGCAATCAATAAAACAAGGATTGTACATAGAACAATATCGGACCTCTGAAAAGTACAAGCATGCATATGTACTCAGTACTTGGTTTGGGCCCCTTTTGCAGCACTTACTGCAATTACTTTTGCACGATATTCTAATTATTCGAGTTTCACCTGTAATTGCATGCTTTATGTTACTGAAATCTGAACATAATGAACACACTTTAAAAAGACTATGGGGTCAGATAGGTTGGAACTGTTGTATTGCCTTACAGGTCACTTCTGTCTAACATTACTGTACAGTTTGATGCAAGAAAAAAAAAAATATGCAGGATGTTAACTATACCTGAAGTGAACCAAGCGATTACCTTTACTTCTAGATATGAATAATTCTAAGTCACAAGGCCAACATGAAAGGCAGCAACACAATACTGTGATGACAGAACATGTCCTGGCCACTATTGGGTCACATATTTGCCATCAGTTAACACGTGACATCACAATTTCACTTGCAGATTGAGTTTTATTTTTTCTTGCTGATTGGTAATATTTTTAGAAAATGGAAACTCATGTCAAAGCACATTGCATTGTAATGAGCGTTGCAACAAGCATTAACATCCAGAAACACACAGACGCATGTTTTACCATTGCAATGTGGATCAATGCATGTATTCATGCATTCCCAATGGAAACCGCATTTGCCTAAAACCAGGTTATTCAATAAGAAATACAAGAATCAAAGTACAAAATGCAGTAACCTTTAGCAGCCAATCAGAATTCACTCTGCTGAGGTCAGTAAACAAAGTACAAATACCAAAGCACCAATTAAGTATTTGGCAGTGTCAAGGATGGCAGGTAGCTCTTTCAGTGTGCATCTACCTTTGCATGGTAAACAATTCTTTGAGCTTCCACTGCTCCGTTTGATGGCCCATTCTGACTTGTCTTCTATGTTGTGCATTAACATGTGTTGCATTAAGGCAGTCAACGCAACAAGACAAAAAAAAGAAAAAAAACAGACATGCAGATTTGTTTCTGGTTTAGTGCACCACAATGCATGGCAGTGTGTTTTTGTGCAGTGTGGTGCATTGTGCTGCAACCTATGTGCGTCCAAAGCGCATTGTGTTAGTGCTTTGGGGTGCGATTAACAATTATTGGACTAACATGGACACTGTGTTGGTGTGTGCTGAAACAAATAGGACATGTTGCCTTATTGCATTTGTTACTGCAATGCACCGTAAGGGATGGTGTAAACAGACCCTAAGGGCTCATTCACATTGGCCAAAAACTAAAATGATCCATATTAGCGTGTGGGCTACTGTCTCTTGTGTGTCGGTGGTGGGGGCAGTGCCTTGCTTTGTTAGGCAAGGTACTGTTTACCCTTTAAAAAATAAATAAATAATGAAATGTCAAAGTGACGTTTTATTAATTTATGTTCACTGGTGACTGTCACTGACTTAAGGTAAGAGGGAGCATTGCGGTGCAAATAGAAACAATTGCCCTTGCGGAGACTGCCGTTGATCGGGTGCAGAGAAACACCAGTCACAACACAGGATGTAAACAAGCCCTGAAACCAATCGCTGGTCTACATGAATCAGAAGTTTTTACCTGCGCAGTGATTTGAAACACTTTCAGAATATGATAAAATAGCTACATCAATGAATTACCTGAACTACGAAAGCCTATTTTAGAAATAATCCCACACTGCCATTCAGTAGTCTGGGAAAACTGCATAAACAATGTATTTGTTTCCAGCACTGGAATTTTACAGATAAGCCAAGAGCAGATCATTTACTTTGCCTAAGAAAAAATATGCTTGCAAATTCTAAAGCAGAGAAATTCTAAAGCTAGGTGCAGAAAGGTACTGAGTGGGTTAACCGTACTCTGCAATCCTTCATTGCAGGGCTGACTTGTAATAGATTAGGTCTGTATGTGTTACTCCCCCACCAATCCTACCAAACACACTGGAGCTTGTCCTGCCAGGCAGAGGCAAAGATCGGATTTCATCTACCACCACCTCCTCCTCCCCCTTCTCTCCAGCCTGACTCCCCTCCCACCCGCTGGTGTCTTCTTTCCATGTGACCTTGCACAGGCTTCATTTACTGGAATCATAGACCCCCTAGAAAGGCAGAGAGAGGGAAAGGAAGGGTGGGAGGAGAGCGACTATGAGGGTATTACATAACAAAAGCCAACTTCAGATATCTCACAGCCAGACACCAACAAACAGCAGCTCCCGCAAAGGGTACACCCATGCCAGGTGGAGGCTAGACAGAGGCCAAGCAACAGGTCTTTCGAATGTAAACTAGCAGCATTCAGATAAAAGCACGAGTCCTGTAAACAAATCCGGTGTAAAAGCAGATATGGACCTGCTGCACTCAGGGTGATACAAGAAATTGGAAGCTTTTGTCTCATTATGGAAACATTTCGTCCTTCAGTGTACAAAATAGTACACAAAGCCCAAACTTTTTATTTTTTAATTATGAAGTGAAGAAGAGTTAGAACCTCAGTTTTTTTTTTGTTTCCGTCCGTATCCCTGTCATTTTTTTACTATTGGTTCTGGTGACCCATTGTCATAGAAACAGAAATAATGGGCTATCTGAAATTTTGGACTTGTCACAGAGACAGTAAGCAAAGAGAATTCTTCCAATGGGTAAAATCCAATTCTTAGGACAGCTTTCTGACAGTCTCTTCCCGCTGTGCCGCTAGGACAGGAAGTAAAGTGAAATCTCCCACATGAGACAAAAAGAAACCTGTCACATGGTCTTAATGCTTTCTTACTCTAGCCAAAATTTTAAAAAAACCATGGTAATGTCTCTATCAGAAAATGTTTATAAAAGGTACCCCATCACACTCCAAAATGATGTATCCAAACGTGTAGCTTAAATGGGTGATGAAATGGCCATTGGATTGCACCATAAGACTAAAGGCGATAATGAGGTCACCAGCACACAAATGCGGTCCCCCTTCATCAGGCAAAACAATGCAACGTATTTGGTCACATTGTTTTACCTGAGGGACCGCATGTGGTTCAGAAGCATTGCATTTGCTTTTGACACCATGTTTTCCTAAACGTCAATAGAAGACAGATCGATGAAGTGGGCCTTGATGTGCTGGTGAACTCATTATCTCCCCTAGAAAATGCTTGTTTCAGAAAATTTACACTGTTATTAGGACATAGTATGTTTACTGTGTCCCCAAATATGAAAGAATGGGAAGTGATCTACATCACCTCCTGTTCATTCATGATTGTGGACATGGTAAACATACTATCTCCACAAGTTATGAACGAACAGGAACACTGAGTATAGAGGATTCCTGTTCATTCACAACAGGGGCTGCAGAAAAAGAGAGAGAGATTAAGGACTCTGTGTTCTCAATCTTTTTTTCTATATTAAAAGGGAAATATTAGGGGTCGGTGCAGAGCCCTGAAATTTCCCTGAAGCCCCTAACAGTAAAAGTAAAACAATAAAAATATTTAATAAAAATTAACAAAATATTTTAACCCCCCTGGCAGTCTGATTGTTTTTTTTTCTTTCAATATTTACTTTTAAATCTCCCGCCGTTTCCGCCCCCTGCGACGCAGGCGCTCTCAAGGTACGGAATACGGATGATGGCAGACACAGCGGGGCTCGTGGACAAGGTAAGTTACGCATAGTTTAATCCCGAGTGTGGCTCGGGGTTACCGCTTTTGGTACTGAAAATTAACCCCAAGCCCCACTAGGGAATACCACCAGGGAGGTTAAACAATTTTGTAAAGGTTAGGGGGAAAAAATGTCAGTTTCGGACTGACAATTTTTTTTTATTTTTGGTTTTGTTTCGGTTTAAACAATTTCTTTTCGGTGCATCTCTAGTTTTAATATACGATTTTACTGACCTATAACAAGTATGGAGACCTTAAGGGTTATTCATAAAAGGGTGAAGAGTTTGGAGAAGACAGTAGAAGTGAACAATCTAGGCCACAATAGCTGATTTGGAAAAATTCTCCAATTTAGAAACATTTTCAGTGCAGCTATGTTGTCCTAGATTATTCACTAGAGAGTGAAGAGTTGTGGAGCATGCAAGAGAAGTGAACAACCCTGCTGATCTCCAAAACACACACATGTGAATATCGGATCTGGGCAGAAAATTCTAGGCCGAATAGTGACTGCAGCCAATCAGCTACAGTGTATGTTGG